ACTTACTTACTTACTTACTTACTTACTTACTTACTTACTTACTTACTTACTTACTTACTTACTTCAAACTATGTAAAACTAACATAAAATATGGGTACGAACCCTATTTCATTTTACATGAAATAAATGTGGGAATTGTTTTTTTTTTCATTGTTTGTTTTTTACTTTTTATGTTTTCAGCATACGCCTACAAATATCTCATTTGATTTGAATAACTTAAGCCTCATTTTTAGTACCTCTAAGGTAGTAATTTCTTACAGTAATAAACGTTGGAGGTGTATTTTCCTGCGTGGTAATATTGGCTCTAAATGGTTCACAGTAAAGAGCAGTGGATCAGAACCAAGACGACAGCAATAAACAGCAAAGTATTTCTCCTGAAATATAACAATTTACCTGTGAAAAGAAAACCCAACAACTGATTGTATTGATCAGTGTGTATCAAAGAAGAGCTGAGGTGTTGATTAGTCTCTTGGCTGTGAGGAGATTAATCCATCCATCCTTCGTGCTGTTAATTAACAAGCCATGAACTCAATGTGCCTGAGTGGGCTCTGAAAAAGGCACAAAACCACCATCCAGGGACTAATTCAGCCTTTGTTCAGGTTGTGTGAAAGGAACTGAGGAGTTTTCTCCTGGGCAGAGTGACATGTCTGCTGTGTAATCACAGTCCATTCAGTGACCTGATGTTTGGTCACTGATGACCTCGCAGCGATGGGCTGATTTAGTGTCGTTCTGTCCGGCTTCTTCCCTTTCTGTCCCTGTCTTCAGAAGAAACTAACATGATTATTAGTTAATTATATTGTGTACTGTATTCATTGAACATTTAAACAAGAGGTGCCCAAAGTGGGGCCTGCGGTCCAAAATTGGCCCGCCAAACCATTTGATTTGGCCCACCAGCGGTTACTAGATTGCAATTAGGTTAAGAATAAATATAAAATACAAGTAACTACAAGAGACATTTAGATCAGATTTAAGCCCATATCTAGATTTGCGCACCTTATAAGCCCCCATATACTCAAATTTTAAATTATGAAAAGTTTCATGAGCCTTTGCTGCCCGAACATACGGTGAACTTTCTCCATGTCCATGAGCTGAAAAAAAAAGGAATGTGGGCAACCACGCTGACTGCTAGCTTAATCATAAAAAATAAAACAACTTTACTTATGAAGTATTTGCATTTCTTATATTATTGCAATTGTCCCGCAGCCCTCAGATTGATTTTAATTTTGGCCTTCTCAAGGACAATGTTTGGGCACCCCTGATTTAAACTATTTTCTCTTTTTCCCAGTAAATCTATCTGCACTAACAAATCCTTCAGAATCATTACAATCTTTGTTGAAATATTTAAATGAAAACAAACCTGAAAGCAACAGATCATTTTACTGAAGCACAAAACTGACTCTGTTTTGCTTTCAGGTCTTTTGTGCTGCTTCATTTTATAATCAAAATGAAAAACATAAATGTACTTTCTTTTAAATCTCTTTTAAAAGTTTACAAACAGATCAACTTTGCTTGCCAAAGAAGCTTTTTAAGTGAAAAACTTAAATAAAAGGAAAAACTTAAAAAATGAAAAACTTTAAAAATTTCAATAGTTTTCGGTAGACTATTTATTTATTGATTATCACCATGAAAGGTGAGTCRGTCATGTATTTGCTGGTGTCTTTGTATCTGTTTGGTTGATTATCTGTCTGTTAGCAAAATATTTCATGAACCACTCCTAAAGTAATCAATGGATGCTTATCTACCATTGATTAGCCTTTGGAATCAATCTGATTCACCTTCGCAAACACAAAAATAGCTATAAGTTTGTCCGTTTTACAAAAACTTAGCAAAATTCTGGTGTGGAGGTAGCCGAGAGTCATCCTCAAATTGTGCTCCAAGCACTAACGAACTGTTTAAAACGTCAGCTTTAAAAGTAGCAGACAATATTAAGGATTACCACTTTTTATGCAAACTGATTAGTAGTATCTAGTTCTGCTCCTGTACCTGTGATTTCTGACAGGAGTGATATATATATATATTTTTTTTTTTACCATTTTTGTGTTTCTGTTCATTAGGAAAAAGATGTTTGGGTTCCTTATTTTTTTTCCTGGCAGCACTAACACATCTGGTGAAAACTGGGCACCACAAATCTCCAGATAATAGTGGACCAATCGGATATCTCTTAATGCAAAATGAATGTTTATTGTGTCTTTACATTTTATAATATCTGAAAGAGTTCAAGATTAACTGAAGGCATTTTATACGAAGATATTTGTCTCATTTTATTGGGCGGTGTTTTGGTTCATCTATGTGATAAATCTGCTTTATGTTTACATTCCCAAACTAAAACCAATGACTGCTTTCAGCTATTTTTTTTTTTGTGCAGCCAGAGCGGATTGTGAATACCAAGCACAGACACTGACCTCCTCTGTGCAGGTCACTGTGAGCGATCCAGGCCAGCTGCACTCAGCAGACTCTCAGYAGATGATGGGATTTTAATCTACGACAGCTTGAGTTCATATTTATTTAGTAGCTGCTGTAAAGCGCCGCCGTCCACCGTGTCGCTCCGCTCCGCGCCCCATCACAGTCAGCAGAAAGTGGAAAAGTGATGTATTGGTTTTCACTATCAGCAACTGGCAGACGTAATCGGCGGCGAGGGAAAGTGATTCTTCAAACTGAGGGTTGTTGTGAAGTCTGCACACGGGCCAGGCTTTCCCCGACTGAACGGCGGTTTAATTTCACACTGATGTGATAACCTCGCAGATGAGTGCAAATGGCTAATTGGCTTTTCTCTGCTACTACTTCTCTTAGTCAGCAAAAAGAGATTCTTTCACTCTAATATCAGGAACACAAAGCAAAATAAAGGATCTGCGCTTGTTTTACACAAGTAAGAGGCATTAATTATTTAGGATTTAGGTTTAATAATGTTACATATTATGCATTAGTCTACTGTTCTCTGTTTTTCTCCTAACTTCAATTGAAAAGTAACTTTGTTTCCCAGAACATATTTTGTCTGTTCCCACCGAGCAGGTGTGAACTTGTAGCTTTTGGTACACAGTGGGTGTATTGACATATTTTTATGAAAACACCTGTGCACCTCTCTCACATTAACTCACATTTGTGGAAAGAGCAATGAGTTGTTCTCTGACGAAGGTTTGCACGAGGACATTTCCACGTCACTTTCTTCTTTCAACACCCGATGCCACGACTGTTACGGGTTTTCAGAATCCATTTGTAGTCTTTTCCTATCTTTTTACATTTTTTGTATTAATTTTATTTGTATTTTAATGATATGAACAGATGATTATTCTGTTCTTAGATGGTTTAAAACATTACGTTTATCTGTTTTGGAGGAATCTTCTCTTTACTTTCATGTTTCAGTGAATGCTTTATTTATGGTATCAACTTGCTGTCAGTTATCCTCGTTAGCTGTAAAAGATCGCTTTCAAATGAACAGATGTTGCAAAAAACGTTGCGGAAAAATCTCTGGTTAAGTATTATTACCACAAACACCAGAAACGTGAAACAGCTGAGCAGTGGAGAGGAAGTAGATTTGGACACTGAATAAAAAGGTAAGTGAATATATAGGATGGCACTAGGGGGCAGGGCTGGCCTGTGGCATAGGCAGTTTAGGCAAACGCTAAGGGTCCCGTCCATCTAGGAGGCGCCAGAAATGGGGGAACGAAAAAATATTTATAAGTTTTATCAGAGTTTAGTTGATTTAAACT